CCATGTGAGGCCTTGCATGCACGTAAAGTTTGAAACTTTACGTGTTATCCACACTAGTAGAGTATATATCTGAAGTTTGGGACCTTGAGTCCCAATGGAAAGGGTCGTAAACATAAGGGACTAAGGGGACTCGGCAAGTCGTGCAAATGACTCGGCGAGTCGATAGGGTTTTCTCGTTCATGGCCATGGGTTCACGGTCAAGGGTTCACGGCCAGGGGTGTTCGGTTGGAAGTTTACGGCCGTAAACATCAAGGAACTCGACGAGTCTCTCGGGTGACTCGGCGAGTCGATGAGTTGAACAGGGAACTCGGCGAGTGGCTGGTTATACTCGACGAGTTGAGGTCAACATGGACTGTTGACCTCGACTGAGGACTTTGACTTTGACCAGGGTTGACTAGGGTTGACCCGGAGGGTATTTATGGTATTTCAAGGTGGTGTTAGGTTAATCACATGATGATTGCAGGCAGTTGAGTTGGAGCAGTACGTCGGGACTTACTGGGTCTTACCCTGTTAGTCCAGCAGCTGAAGTTTCGTCTGTGGAATTTCGATAGTGCAAGGTGAGTCTTCTCACCATACCCATGGGTCTAAGGCACCAAGGCCGGCCCATTATGTGATTATGTTATATGTGTTGGTCATTATGTGATTTGATAAGATATGTGATTTGTTATGATATGTGATTGTGTGTTTTTGCATGGAAGACCCCGGGGGGAGCCCGTGGCATTGGATATAAGACCATGTGGGGTAGCCCATGGCATTCCTAGGTAAAGACCATGTGGGGGAACCCATGGCATTGGATGTAAGACCATGTGGGGTAGCCCATGGCAGTCCTAAGTAAAGACCATGTGGGGTAGCCCATGGCATTCTTACAGGTTTTATGTATGCATGGCTTAATTGTTATGTGTGTAGCTTTGATTAGCTAACAGGATATGTGTATGTGTGTGGTATGCTCTGGGGGACTCACTAAGCTTTGTGCTTACGGTTTACAGTTTTGGTTACAGGTATCATCGATTTAAAGAGGGAGAGCTCGGATTGATCGCAGTGCACACACCTATGATTTCCGCAATGAATAATTTTGGGATAAACTCTGATAAATGATTTACTTAACAATGATTTGGAATGTTTGGAATAAATGGTATCAATGTTTTAGTTATATTATAAATGAAATTTTTACCCTTGATTTTTGGGTCGTTACAGTTAGAGGCCGAGGCAACTGATTCACCGGGAGTAGTGGTGAATGTTGGATTTGGTTTCTAAGCCCATAACTGTAAATGGGATGAACTTGACCCGATTGTAGCATGGTCCTTTTGGGTTGCCTTCATCAGTGCTATTTGATAGGATGGACTTTTGAGAATAAGGTTATTTGTGATTTATTAATATATTATAATTATAATATATTAATTGAGAAATCATATTATTTAATTAGTATTGATCAAGAATTGATTTGTAATTAATTTTGTGATCAAAAGAGACTAATTAAATATATGGGGATTGATTATCTAAATCAATGATTCTTATAGTGTGGGCCAATGATCCATGATTGTTTAGATGAGCTAAACCAATGAGATAATCCATGGATAGTCCATGGAGGTTTAACTCATGGAGCATAAGAATGTGAAAGGTCATGGAGCATTAGGGTTTACATAAATGTAACCCTAGCTTAGTAACACTATAAAAGCATACCCCTAGTCCCAAAATCGGCTTCCCCATTCATTCTAAGAGAGTGAAGTTGATTTTGTGCAAAGTAACTTATTCTCTTAAGCCTCCTCTTGCATTTGGTGTTTGTGAACCATTAGAGGCATCACACTTGAGGTGCTTAAGCTTTTGAAGGCCAAGAACTACAAGTCCTAATAAGAGGTATGTTATCTACATTACTAGAAAAACAGCCTTTTACGACGCGCAATGCGTGTCGTAAAACGCTCAGACGACGTGCAAATGCGTGTCAAGGAAGGCCCTGTCATAACGAGAGACGACACGCTTTTGCGCGTCGTCTTTACGATGCGCATTTATGACACGCAATGCGTATCATTAAAACCCCTGTCAATAAAGGCCATGTCATAAATGAAGACGACATACATTTTTGCGTATCGTAAATTTAAATGTTTAAAAAAATATATTTATATATTTATTAATTTTTAAATTAAATTTTCATTTAGTGTCTCATAATAGAAATAACATACCATATACAAAAAATACAATCCACTGCATAAAATTTAATGTCATACAATTCTATTTCTTACAATATATAAATTTGCATTCATCTAATCTACTCTGTGTTTCATACAAAAAATATATTTCATGCGGCTTCTTCCATTTCCTTTATTAGCAACTTCCATCATTAGTAGAACAACTAACAATTGAAATGAAAAATGCAACACTTGTATATCTGCAAAAGACTTGAAAAAAACAACAAAGATTTAATGTTTATATATAGCAAGAACATATTGAATGCATAAAATAACAAGAGTTAATAGGAAGTCATTTTCTACTCCCTTCTAAGTATGTGATGATTGGGGTTGTTGATTGCAACAATTAAGCATCTGCTTATGATGAAAGTAGATACCATTTTCACAAAAGAGTTGCCTTTATCCAACAAATTGTTAACATGTCTCAATGGTTAATTTGAAAGAAAAAATCTTTATGAAGAAACTGTCTATTGATTAATTTTCTACCATAAAGTTCAAAATTACATTTCTACCCTAAAGTTTAAATCTAAAATAAAATAATTCAAAATTACATTTCTCTAATAGGTCCTGTTTTTGTTAGGAAGTTGCAGACATTACCTATCCACAAGTTGCAGTAAGGGCAAACATGGAGGAGCAGAGGAACTCATCTACATTTTGTGTAGAGGTGAATCCAGGCAGCAAATGCAAATCAACACCACTTCTAAAGAAGAAAATAAGTCGCAAAATCAATTAGCGTAAGAAGGGTAATATAGGCCAAGAACTCAACATTTCAATTCCATTACTTTGTATATTTCTATTTGGTTCATTTCCGTTCATAAATCAATCAAAAGATTTAGAACGTAAAAAATGGCAAATAAAAGTCCTTGTCCACGACACTATTTAAATACTTGCAAAATATTTAACAACTTTTCCTTCCGCTAACTTCTTTCTCATGGAACTTTTTTTAAATACTTTTAGGTAAAAAATAAATTGTGTATGTGTGTGTATAAAGAAGAAACTAACACACTACAATGTTAATAATATGGTTTAAAAAGGGTATGTCAGTCATTTATAGAAGAAATGGGGGAGGAAGGAGAGCATAGTTCCATCATTAGTAGGGTAGGTAGGGTTTTGTGAATTCCAACATAACGAGATAAAATGGTGTGAATCTTAATTCAAATTCAGGCTGAATATCAGAGAAAAAAATGAATGTTAACGAAACAGACATATAACTAATGATACATATGTATTTTATATAAGCCAGACAATGCCACAAAAGCAGGAAGTTAACTGTGATCACCTTCAAATTGCATGAAGTACTACTGCATTCAGATGAAACTATAGCGTCTGACATTTCGACCTAAGACAAGAATTAGGGTGAGGAATTTATAGCATATGTTAAGATATAAACGACAAGGCAGAAAAGGTAGTATCAGTATGAAATAAAATATCACCTCGTTTACTAGTAAGATATTTTCAACGATATACTGAGTCATCTCTTCAGCATAGGGTTCAAATGCAGCAACAGAATGCTGAGCCATGCAGCCTAACGACTGAAAAACTGTAGGAGTAGGTGGACCACTCTTAAGAGCATCCACAAGTTTCTAATAAGATAAGCAGCAGCATCAGCGTGTTTAAATTTCATGTTTATTTAGAGAAGAAACAACATATAACATATAATGCAGAGTGTATGTATGGTGTTACTTAACAAGTTTTGTTGTGCTTAAATTTATACTATATTAAAACTAGTTTGCACCATTTTAAGTTTGTTTATCGTGTGAAAACAATGTTACAGCAACAATGAACGACTTGCTTCCAAACTCCAAAGGTGTGCTTATCAGTTTTTTTTGGTGCATCAATTCATTACCCTTCAAATAAAAAGAAGCATCCTATAGTATCAATATGTATAACAATGTTAAAATGAGATATTGCAGCAAATAAACAGATCCAAAACTCATTGATACCCTTATTAAACCACTAATCCTATTTATTGCAGATTATGAGATGAAAAGAAAATGAGTTAGATAGACCTTTCACAGATCTGAGAGACTGGAGTGCTCAGAAGTAACCATCAATCCACTGATTGCAGAAACAGCAAGCTTGGCCTGAGCACGACTCCCATCCAGGCAGATCCTATCTAAGAAAGGGTAGATAACACTACACAACACAAATTTGTAAAAAAGTTAGGAAAGCCTCCTTTCCTTGACTTTCTATATTAAGTTGTTCTTTCTGAATTAAGCTATTGATTCACCATCATGTAACTATATACACATATACATAATTCCTGTGATAATAGTAGGCTTGGGTGAACGTGAAAAAGTATCCTAACCAGCATTGAACAGAAGTCACCAAAACATTTCAAGCAGGAACAACGAATTACAATTACCTGAGGTCAATAGAAATATGAGGTCCAGCTTTAGCTAACATTTCAAGCAGCTCATTACAGAATAATGATTTACCAAAAAAGATGGCGTACTTACTTATGCATGTATCATGGTCTCTTATATGCAAAAGGTCACCACTCACAGCTTCCCTGTAAGGGGAAAACCATAAAAATAGAGGTCAAGATCGTTATTTCACTTTAAAGTAGCACAAAGGGATGGATTCCCCACCAACCAACATAATCGATATACTCATTCTGACCAATGTCCCACATGTGAGAACCCTTCACGGAATCAATTACAATAGACTTTATAGCTGCTGGTGTCCAATTACGATGAGTAGCTTTCAGAAGTGCTGCAACACCGCTGAGATGTGGGCATGACATTGATGTTCCAGACATCATGTTAAATGGAGATTTCGTGTTGGTGCTTCCAGGAAGTGGGGTTGTCTATGCTGCTAGAATGCTGACACCTGGTCCAATAATGTCCGGATTCAGAATTCATGGGCTCACTGTATTCGGACCTCTAGAAGAGAATGAAGCAACAGATGGAGCTAAAGGGTCTCCAATTATTGTTACTTTAAACAATAAAGCTACCATTGGTGTAAGTGTTGAGTTGATGTAAGCTTTAATCTCCAGTCCAGCTGCAAAACTCAGCTGTGTTGCAGGGAGGACATGTGCATCTGCATCTAGGCTGAATCCTTGTGGTTCTTGGTTCATCAATATCATAGCTCCACCACCTGCATCCTTCACCACTGGTCCTTTCTCTATTCTAGATGTCACACCTCTCTCACACAGCACCACTTTTCCCTTTACATCCATACCTTCAAGTGATCCATTGACACATAACTTGGAATCTTGTTTTTCATTAGAACCAGCATACACGAGTGGTGAAAGTGTAGAAGAAGGGGAGCCTTTTGGCTGAAATAAAGATTCACCATCAAATTCCTTATTGTTTCCTAGTTTTGCTGTGGCTTTGATTTTTCTGTCATTTGTGCTAGCACCAACTGTTAGAACCCGTGGAGCTACATTTGTTGCAGTGCCATTGAACGGGCCTGAGTTCCTTGTTGCACAGCTCACAAAGATTCCTTTTTGGATAGCTGCAAATGAGGCTATTGCAATGTTGTCTTGAAAAAAAGGCACGTTTTCTTCTCCAATAGAAATTGATATCACATCAACTCCATCAGCTACTGCAGCATCAAGCCCGGCTAATATGTCACTCTCTGGACAATCTGGACCAAAACATAATTTATAAACCGCCAGATGAGCATAAGGTGCCATCTAGACGGCTAATATGTCACTCTCTGGGCAATCTGGACAAAAAAGTAGACCATCGGTTCATTTTTTGTGATGGAAGTTCCGTTTGAGCAATTCAACGAACAGTCGGCATGCGTTGTTAGAACAAAAAGAATCAAAAAACTATGACGGGTGATATTTTACACCAAATCATCCACCATGGTTGATTAATCGATAGACCAACTCTCTGTCTCAATCTATTGGTAATTACAAAGAGAGTGAAATAGAAAGGAAAAAGGAAAGGGGGGAAGTGGTAGCATAGGAAAGAAAAAAGTTCAGAACTTTAAAATTGTGTCTACGTACCTTCAAAATTGAAGCCAAAAAACTCAAAATTGTTGATTCGTGGCTAGAATCGCTGTTGTGGTGCGATGTTGGAACGATGGAGTCCGATAGAAAACACAAATTGTGATGGGTAGCTATCGTTATTGGTGATGTCTGATTCATCAAAAGCCCTAGTTCTTCGGTCAATCGTCTATTTTGTGAAAGAAGATATTACCATTGCAAATGCGTTATGTTTGATTAGGGTTTGCACACAGAAGAAAGTGAAAGTCGATCGTAGAGGAAGAGGTTTGCAGAGAGAAGGAAGGGAGAGAATGAAGTCGATCTGGCGGGTGTAGAGAGTACAGAGGAAGAGGAAGGAAAATGTTCAAAATTTTGGGGGAGTTCGTTTTCCCCCTTACCTATCAAGGAGAACCGCGCGTTTAGTAAAAATTATAAAGTGACATTTGTAGAGGACACGCTTTTTATGATAGGTGCCCTCCGTGTTTTTTTTATTGGACCTTAATTTTAGGGCGCGCAAAAATACGTGTCCTCTATCCTTCAAATTTTGGAAGGCTGACTTTATTTTTAAGGACACACACAAATGCTTATCGTAAATCAGCGAGTGTCATTGTTTGCGCGTCATTAAAGGGTATTTTTCTTGTAGTGCTAACTAGTTGTATTGTTCAATTGTATGCTAGTTAGGCAGAATGCTTTGGAAAAATGGAAAATGCATGTATAATTAGAGAAAACATAGATCCAAAGCATTTGGGGTTGCAGTTGCACCATAGGAGTGTTATAGTGCTCAAAACCCAACAGTGGTATCAGAGCCTAGGGTTGTTTTCTGTTATACTTGATGCTTGTTATTTTTCAAAGTTAAAAAAATCGAATTTCTGGCCTCTGACTGATGAACTCGCCGAGTCCACTGGCTGACTCGACAAGTCCACTCAGTAACAGGGCAACTCGGCGAGTCAGTTCATACACTCGACGAGTTAATGGCCCTGGTTGCAGAATTTCAAGTTTTCTTGGCCTAGATTGGATTGGAATCACTACTACAAACTGTTTTACATCATTAGATTTTTTATGATATTTTAGTGATTATGTTCATCAAATCACAAGATAATTGTCATAGTTTTAAGAAAATTGTTGATTTATTTGATAAACAAAGTTGCTTGCAAATTTTTGACTAAATATTATCTTGTTTATGAGTTTAGTTAGATCAATCTTGAATTATATGATAGTTTTAGTTGTTAGAAATTGATCTAAATGATTTTTTAATGACCTCCATAACTTGTCCTCAAGTTATGGACAATGAAAGTTCTCATCTTTAAAATTGCATGAAACTCATAAGTTATGAATACCAAGCGTTTTGACAACTTTCAAAACTTTCCCTCAAGTTTTGGAATTTGTAAAGTCTCACTAATGCAACTTTAATTCCAAACCCTAGAATTTTAAAAGTTAAAATTCAACTCTATACTTTATAATATTATAAGTTTAATAATATATATGTATAAGACAAGTCAGTCTTACCGTTAGTAGGTCTCATTCAAGAAGCCAGTCTATAAGGGCGTATAAGGTTACTACCTATAAAATGGTGGTTTAATGGGCGTCCACTCTCACCCACCGCTTCCTTGACTGGTGGAGGGTCGTTAGCCGAACGGGTATGATAGGACATTAATTCTCGTTAAAAGTAAAATGACAAATTGTAACGCCCCGATTCTCAGGTATTGTTTAAATAAGATCTACTGGGTTAAGCTCTACTCGACGAGTTGGTTGACCTACTCGTCGAGTAGCAGCGGGGTGGGATCGCGTGTTAAGTGACCTACTCGACGAGTCCATGTTGGGACTCGGCGAGTAGGGAGCTGGCAGATGAAACCCTAAACTCGGGGTTTGCACCTCTATTTAAAGGAGCCTCAACCTCCTTTGGCCTCTTTGCAGTCTTTGAGAGCTCCTTAAAACCTATACGCGTGTGTGGTGCCCATTGTGTGTTTAAGCTTGAAAAGAGGATCTTTGGAGGGAGAAGGCTTGGAGGAGAAGGAGATTGGAGCAAGTAGAGTGTGGGAATCAACTCCTATCTCAGTTATCATCTTTTGGAGGTAACCATATCGCCTTTTTCCTTGTGAATCTCTTCTATTGGTTGAGTTTTAGGGTTTTTGGTGAGATATTAAGTTGGAAAGATGAGCTATGGGCTAGATCTGAGGTTGTAACTTCAGATCTGGACCCTCCTTGGATTCTAGAAGCATAAAGTTTCAGTTTTGGTCACAATTAAGGTCCCTCTTGAGCATGAAGTTCCATTAAGAACTTAAAATAGGCATTTAGAGCCTTTAAAGCCATGCATGCACATAAAGTTTGCAACTATACATGATAAGCATGCCCTAGAAGCTTGGATCTGTGATTTGGAGCCGCTGCATGGCTCAGAACAAGTCTGTACGGATAGAGGACTGAATGGACTCGGCGAGTCGAAAGGTTGACTCGGCGAGTCACATGAAGATGGCCGTGAACTCGACAAGTTAGAATAACAACTCGGCGAGTCCGATGAAGATTACCATAAGACTCGACGAGTTGAAGAACAACTCGGCGAGTCGGATGAGTTTTCCCTAGAATATGTATGCGTGTGTATCCGTCGAGTTGCAAGGAGGGAACTCGACGGGTGGCCTTAAAGTTTGATCGAGAATCGAAGGAACTCGGCGAGTCACCCCGATGACTCGGCGAGTTGGATTGTACTTCAAGGAACTCGGCGAGTAGTCGAGGGTACTCGGCGAGTTGGGGTCAACATGGACTGTTGACCTTGACTGAGGACTTTGACTTTGACCAGGGGTTGACTGGTGGGTTATGGGGTACCTTATAAGGTTAAGGACTTATGAGTATATTGTACTATGATCATAGGTGGTGGAGCCTATGTCAAGTGATCCGAGAGTTGGAGTGTATCTTCCGAGTCGATATCTGCAAGGTGAGTCATCCTCACTATGATCATAGGGTCTACGGCACCAAGGCCTGCCCTTTAGTTGTTATGATTGTGGTATGTTTCATGTGGTTATGATCTGCTAGATCGGAATCAGGGTAGATAGTATGTTATGCTATTATGATCCGTAAGCATTGGTATGTTAGTGACCTGTTGGGTCGGTACTCTAGTTACGAGAGAACTCTATGACTGATGATCAGTGTGATAGATATGTTTGATGCTTGTATATGCCAGTATATAATAGTTATGTGCACTTGGTTATTTGCTTGTTGGTTGGGTTGAGGCGGTCCTGCTTTGTGTTGTAGGCCATCGTACCCTATGAGCGGTCCGGGGAGACTGCAGGCCCACGTGGCGGACCAGTCATGCCGAAGGCTCGAGATAGATTCAGATAGACTGTAGGCCCATTAGGGCGGTCCAGTCAGGCCGATGGCCCAGTATGCATGTTGATTGATTGATTGTTACTGATATGGCATTGTCAGTGTGGTATTGGTATTTTGGGGGTAGCTCACTAAGCCCTCGGGCTTACAGTTTTCAGTTTATTGTTTCAGGTACTTCAGGAGATCATGGCAAGGCGAAGGCGTGACCGTACCGCTCCTCATCCTTATGTTATGATTTTGGGACACTCTGATGGATATTGATTTGAAAACATTTTGTAAACGATGCTATTTGATTTTTATTTATGATCGAAAAAGTTTAAATTTGGCGTAAAATTTCTGGATGTTTCAAGTTGGTATCAAAGCCTTGGTTTGAGTGAATTGGAGGAACACTCGTCTGAATCCAGTCTCAAATCAAGGAGATTTTCGGAAAGTAAGTTTTAAAAATGGTTTTCAAAATAAAGGATGGAGGATGCAGAGGGTACGATCAGCCGGAGCCTGTAAGTAAACCCCAAAATACCATACAGTTATTTGATATTCTGATATGTTAGAACAGCATGCTAGTGCTAGGCTAGGGATCTTCAGGGATCGCATGATAGATTTGCCTGATTATATGATACCTATTAGCCTAGGGTTTCTTGTATATGGAATTGACATCATAACTGTAGATGTTTAGTATATGCATCACGGCTGTGTATAGTCAATTATCTTATAGCCTGAGAATGTCTGATTCGACCTTAGAGTAGGATTGGATATTCGAAAGTCTATCGGGTCCAGCGTTATGTGCGGCTAGCATACACTAGTGCTGCAGGGGCTGATGGAAGTTCCATGGAGGTGTGACTTGTGCAGAGCTGTGGGATCAGTTGTGAGATAGGCGATGTCCCCTAGTAGTGAGGGTTGAGCGTACATTATGTTGAGTATAGTATTAGGGCGTTGTGGTGATACTTGAGACAAATATCGGTAGGTGTGGAAGGTAGTATGGGCCCGTACTACTGGAAGCACAGGACCCATACGCGTAGCAAGGAAGTCACAACCCCTAGGATTTGTGGGTTTTGGTCTCCCGATATTATGTTCTTTATCTAATGATTTATATATTTCAGTATGGTGGTGACGAGACGTGTTGCTTCTGGATCCGGATCAGGATCAGGATCAGGGTCGGGAGACGGAGGGTTGGAGGTGCCGGTAGCACCTGAGCCCGTGGTACAAATAGGGACCGAGGAGTTGGATGCCAGGATTCGGGAGATCATGCACGATGAGGTCGCTGCGGCTTTCCGAGCGCAGCTACCAGAGATGTTTGGGTCGATCAAGACCGCGATGGTTGAGTATTTTGATGAGCGATATGCAGCTCTGGCAAAGACAGCAGCCGCTGCAACCACTTCGGCTGTAACTGC